TTCATCAAAATTGGAATAAGCTAATATAGAAGCAGTAATAAGTCTTTCTTTAAAGAGATCAAAGGCACCCTTTTGAGCATTCGTCCAAGAGTACTTTGTATCTTTTTTTAACTGTAGGTTTAGAGAAGTAGCAATAGTGAAAAATTCTCAATAAACCAGCAGTAATAGAAGGCCAATTCTAAAAATTCATGAAGTTGTCAAAGATTAGTGAGGGCGAGAAAGTTCTTAACAGACTCCACCTTGCAGGGGTTTGTAAATATTCCTTCAGCATTGATGACATACCCAAGTTTCCTTTTTGCCATATGACATTTCTTGGGGGTTTAACCTTAACCCAGCTCTTCGAAGGCAGTCAAAAACTTTGGCAAGGTGAACAAGGTATTCATCGAAAGAGCAAGAGAAAATATTCAGGTTTTCTAAATAGAGGATGATGAATTAATCTATTAGGGCTCTGAATATTCAATCTATAAGCTGTTGAAAGGTCACTGGGGCATTTATGAGGCCGAAAGGCATCACATTAAACTTGAAGATTCTGAATTGCGAAATGAAGTCAGTCTTTTCTCTGTCATTCGGGTTCACTTCGATTTGCCAATAGCCACTAGCCAGATTAAGTGAAGTGTACTAAAAAGAAAACCAAAGGGTATTTAAGAGATCATCAATTTGAGGAAGAGGGTAACTGTCCTTCTTTGTCACAGAATTGTGATATCTGTATTCAATACAAAACTGGGTCTTGTCTTTCTGCTTGACAAGAATGATGGGCGAAGCCCATGGGCTCCTTAAGGGTCAAATGATCTTATCGTTTAACATTTGACCAATTTCTTCCCAAAGGAAGTCTTTTTCTTTAGAGAAAGTATAGTAGTAATGTTGTTGAATAGGAATGGTATCGTTAGTTTGGATGGTATAGGTGAAAAGGTTGGTCCGGCCCAGGTCCTGGAATGTCCATACAAAAAGGTCACTATTATCTATTAACAAAATCTTCAAGTTTGTTATAATCGCCGTTGTCAAGGACTTCTATGTCCAGCTTATAGAAAGGCTCTTCTATATTGTCAAGATAAAATTCTCTACTTATCGCTTCGTCTTCATTGGAATTGGTAAGGTCCTTGTCAGACCCAAAAACTTTATCTTCGGTGCAGAAAAGATCTTTATCCTCTTCATGTTCATAATCGTCATTGCTATACATACTTCATGTGACCCTAAGCCTTTGGGTCTTTCATTGTGCTGTGAGGCCACTGATTCATCATCAGAATCGAGGCCACCTGATGATACTTTGTTTCCATAATGAGGTAACGTGGCTACTCTTCTTCTTCTGAATAACTGAAAAGTCTATCCTCTAACTCCTCTTCTTCGTACTTACTTTCAGCTTCTTTTTCAGATGCAGAGCTTTCAGATTTGTTATTGACTTCAACGGTGGGATGTGTGACTTTAAAGGGGCGGTTGTTCTGAATGGGGGTGTGTTAGAGCTTTCTGAACTCCATAGGAATGGTAATTTCTTTGTCTTTCTAATAGAAGGTCATTTTGGATATGGTGTAGTCGATTCTGGTGTTAATCTAGGAGAGCCAATCATTCCTCATGATGGTCTTGTAAGATGTTGCATTGGTGACAATGACATCTACTGGTACCTGAACCGTCCGACAGTGAATGGAAAATCTGAGATTTCTCCAATGGCCCTTTTACTCTGACTGTGTACATTCACCATGTTGACAGTGAAAGGTCTTTCTAACTCGCTCAACAAGTTGAAAGTGATCACACTCCTAGAAGAACTACTGTCAACAATGAGAGGAATGATCTTTCCTTAGATGGTGGATCGCAGTACATGGCTATAGACTTGGGGTAGGGTGGAGGTTTGCAAAAGCCCAAGTCTTCTTGGGTAGGGCTTTCTTCTTGTACAAACTTTTTAATAGCTCTGTTCTCATCAATGGAACTGCTCTCAACAACTGCCCTATGGTTATATTGGCTAGTTTGTCTCTAATATTGGCTACAATCAAGTATGAAGAAACCAAAGCTAAAATCTGTAGTGGATCATTTTCAATCTTTTTCCTTCAAGGGGAGATTGCTTTCGACTCTTTTTTGGGTTTCTTAGAAATTGTTGACAAGGATATTGAGGTTTCTGGGTTAGTTTTTTGTTGGCCGAGGGCTATCTTATCAACATGATGGCATTTATTATGGGTGTGTTGAGCAGGCTTATCAGACTCTTCAGCGGGTAGAAACAAAGAATCTGAAATATCTTCATAAAGGTTCAAAATGTCTAGGTGTCATTACCTCTAGTCTGAGGTAGTATAGCATTATTATTGTTGGGTGGGGATTGTTAAAGGCTCTGTTATTTTGTTCAAGAGGAGTTGTGTTAGCTCCAATAGCCACACTGTTCTGACTATTCTGTGGAGGAGGGTTGGGACAATTCCTTGCATAGTGCTTAGCCTGCCTACAATGGTTACTAGTGAATCAGTTGCTACTGCCATTTCAATTATTAGGAC